CAACGTACAACGACGACGAATCTTCGTAATCGAAACGCACGTGAGCACGTACAGAAACTATGACGAAATTGAACAAAACTAAGAGGGATTCCTTGGTCACCGGTTGAATAACTCTTAACGGAAATGAATGACGCGTTTCATGATGGACGTGTGCCCTTTTCAAGGCCCTGCACGTATGCGGAAAAGCAATTTAACCGGCTGCGTTTCGAAACTAAGCCGAAAGTCATAATAACGGAGAAGTAACCAAAAATGCGGGCTTATAAAATAGTACCAGAAACCTAACCTGAAGTTAATTATTAATTTCATGTTTTCAAGTTACTGTTGGACACCATGTAAAATTACCAGACGTAAGTAGAACTAATTTATAAAAATGTTAAATTTAGCTTCAATACTTTCAGAAATTTCTTTTCAGTTACTTTTAACTTATACTTATTTAATATTTAATTTTTCAGTTTCTACACTTGTGACATTTTGACAATCTTCTTTTGGAGTTTGGACAACAATTGGTTACAAGCACAATATTATTAATCAAGTTTTTAATATTTAAAAATAATACATTTATTATATTTTTTATTAAATATTTAAAAAGAAAATTCAACAAAAAAAAATCATATTTATTAATATCGTAAAAATCACTTCATTCAAAATGAACAAGTGCCCGGTTACTTATAGACAGTTTATATTTATGAGTATACAAGCAATGCCAAATATTAAACAATTAAAAGAAAGAATTACTATAGTGTTTTAAAAATCAAACTTTCGAAACAGCGCATTAGGAATTTAATTAGAAGAACGCAATTACTTACGAAAAATCTAATCTAAAATTCACGAAGAAGAATTTCTTTCATTTTAACTATTGTAAGAAATGTTTATTAATATGCATAAACGTGTATTTTAAATGAAAAAATTTTATTTCCTAAAACACGTGTTGTACACTGTCATTAATATTTCATTTTTAATTAATATTTGTCAGAAGAATTTTTTGGGGACTCCAGCGCCGAAATAAAACTAACCTCTCGCGTTTTCTTCTTCGTTTCTCTTTTTCTTTCCTTTATCTCTTATCCTTATTCTTCTCTCTCTCTCTCTCTCTCTCT